TCTCTCTCTCTCTCATCAAATCTTCCACAGACGAAAAGTAAGGAGGTCTTTGGGTCTAGACAGAACAACATTCTCCAGTCTGAAGGTCTGTGCTAATCAACTGGCATCTTCACATATATGTTCTACAGATTACTGAAGCAGCGTGAAATCCTCATCATTCCTGTTAAAGCTGGCCATACTGTGAAGAAAATCCTGTTGGTCCAGCATGGTAAAGTGCCAAATTTTGATCAGTACGTTAGCTTCCACACTCGACAGAAGTAAATTATTTAATCAGCTTATCAGTGTATTCTTACAGTGGAGAGTCCCGCTGTCAGAATACAATGGCCCGGTGGGGGGATTCCTCCATTTACCTCCCTTGCGTAGATGGAGGAATCAATACATTTTTTCGGTCAGCCTATTGGCTGAACAAAAAAAAAAAAAAACTAAACAATCATCTGACCAGCTTTTGAAATTCACCATCATAAGACTAAAGATACTACAGACCTGTTTCCCTGACCTTGGTAATCAAAGTATTTTAAGAGACTAGTGTTAGCCCACCTGGAGGACACCTCAAGCCCCCTGCTAGAACCCCTACAGTTCTCCTATAGAGCCAATAGAGCAGTGAAGGATGGTGTCAACATGGGGCAGCTATACACTCTGCAACATCTTGAGTCCCCAAAGATGTACTCATGGATTCTGTTTGTGGATTTCAGCTTGGCATGCAACACCATTTCTTCAGAAATCCTTCACTCCAAACTCATACAGGTCACTTTGCACGCCTCTGCCAGTGGATTACTAACTTCCTGGGAGACAGAAAGCGACAAGAGTGGCTGGGAAAAATATCTAACACCCAGACAATCATTGCTGTGCTCCCCAAGAATGTGTGCCCCACTCTTTTCTCAGTTACTGTACCTCAGGTAAAGATGGTAAACTATGCGGATGACACAACTTTATTGATATCATCTCGGATGATGACAGTTGTGTCATCTGCTATGGTTATGAGCCAGCAATTGGCATAAAGTAGATCTGCTGGCCTTTTGGTGCAGTCATAACAACCTGGAGTTAAACACACTCAAAACCATAGGGATCACAGGGGTTTCAAGAGCTCCCACACTATCTTCTCTTACCATACTCAACAGTACAGTGTTGACTGTGGAGACCTTAAAATTTTTGGGATCTATCATTTCCCAAGACCAAAGTATAAATCCAACAGTAATTAAATATATAGGTCAGCAGGCATCTATTCACATCCTCATATAAATGTGTTTTGTAGCAATATACAGTAAATTGATTATTGCCGCGCCCCAAATGTGAGAGATATGAATACTTCCAGAAATAATGAACAATCCAAGTCAACTTATTTCAACTTTAAAATAAATCAATAATAGAATGTGAAAAAAAAACAAAAACGTGATGGATAAACACCATAAAGCTGTGTTAGCCCAGCAGTGGGCTTAATGCAGTGTTTCTCAACTCCAGTCCTCATGGACCCCCAACAGGTCATGTTTTCAGGATTTCCCTCAGATGAAACAGCTGTGGTAATTACTAAGGCAGTGAAACTGATCAAATCACCTGTGCAAAATAATGGAAATCCTGAAAACATGACCTGTTGGGGGTCCATGAGGACTGGAGTTGAGAAACACTGGCTTAATGGAAGGTGAGCGCATATAAGTATCTATATTCCAGCAAGAATCCATCTGCAATCTTGTTTGACTAATCAACCTTATATAGACTTTTTTTTGGACACTATTAATTTTTATTATTTAAATTACTTATACTATGATATTTTTTTCACGTTGTTTCTTTTTTTCAAATTCTATTATTGATTTATTTTGAAGTTGTAATAAGTTGACTTGGATTGTTAATTATTTCTAGAAATATTCATATTTCACATTTAGGGTGTAGCAATAATCAATTTACTGTATATTACTATAAATCCAACAGTAACACCATCCTCAAGAAAGGCACAACAAAAGACGTACTTCATGCTTGCTTTGGTAGTTAGGCCTACTGAAAAAAAATAGTTGGTGCTGACCTGCCCACAATCTAGAACTCATACAACTCCCAAGTTAGGAAACAGGCAAAGAAAATCATTGCATATCACTAAGATCCTGGACAATACCTGTATTATGGCATGCCTATGGCATGTATTACAGATAACTGTACAGCAGGATAATCAGACTTAAAGTAGAATTCCCGCCTAAATCTAAGGGCTCATGTACACAGGGCATTTGGAAAACTCTTCTGAATGATGGATACTGACTGCTGGAAAATGTAGGTTAAAAACATCAGTTTAGCCATGTTTGCATACCGTGTTTAGGTTCAGAAACGTTTTTAAAACATAACCTCGGGAGACCCTCCCAAAATGACCAGAATGCACTGAAAAATAGTAAATAATTAACTATTTCAGACATTTTGAGAGAAAGAGAGAGCAGTATGTGTTGAAATTACCGGTCTTTCCTGGTTGTATTCACTATGGATTCCACCATGAGCATAATGCAGCACGTTCCACCCACTTTTTCCTTCACGCAAAACCTGCAACTGACTGCTCTGGTGTACTAGGTCCATTTGAATACATGGAAAATGCTTTGTTACATTTCTGATGATATAAAAAGGCTCTGGACAGCATCTGGATATGGAACAGTTAAAAAACGCTTCTAAACGCAAATTTACCCGCGTTTACATGCATTTGCCGTTCGCAAGTTTGGTGCGTTAATAAAAAAACTGTAATCTCAACTGCTTGTAAACAACTGTAAATGACTATGTGTACATTGGCACATAGGAAACATTAGGGAGAGTTCAGGGGCTGCGGAAAAAAATGCTGAACAGCTCCTGAACGTCAGTTTAGCAGCTGCAGTGTACATGAGCCCTTACTAGTCTTAAAAAATATCCCCTCCCCCTCCAAACACCTGTGCTGACTAACCTGTAAAAAAAGTATATACTTACCTACTTTCAGCCTGCTCCAGTCTAGCGTCTTAAAGATAGCTAGCCATGCTGGGTTTCCTTTTTTTATTTTAGGTAGCACAGATAAAGTGTCCACTTTGGCGTTGTCTGGTATTTTAGCATAGCATAGATGATTTTGGCGACAGCTCAGTAAGTAGTTGCTCCAGTTCCCTTGCATTTTTTTTCTAGTTTTCAGTAGGTTATGTTTAAATAGCTGTCTGGATACCTCTTGAATCTGAATATGGATATCTGTAAAAAAAAAAAAATAAAAAAAAAAACCTACAACCCCTGTGCCTGCTGGCTGGAAAATCACGTAATTATTATATTTTAATGGGATTTTTATTAGAATATTTTCCATGGGTATAATACAATAAGGCATTTATAATATAGTCTTGGCACACGAGAACAGGGAAAAGGTTGGGTATTCAGTATTCTAAATAGTCTTAGATAGGCAAGGTAACGTGGCTAAAATGAAATAGAAAAAAAAGGAAAGGTAACTATCTGGTTAACAATTTTTGTGAAATAACCTAACACCATGATTTAGTGAACTTTAGTTTGTTTGGGCCAAGCTGTTCAAAACAAACTATTTCCCTCACTAACACATGCAGAGGTCTTCATTGCTGTATGAACTGTATGTAGCCGCAGCTGCATACAGTATACAGCGCTCTGTTCTGGTAGTGGGATGGGGACTTCCTGTCCCGCCCTTGTAACAAGAGTGAGTCATATTGAGCACTGATAAGCCATTGTATTTACTCAATGAATACAGGGCTTCCTCTGAACAGGGATAAATGTGGGTAGATGTCACAATCTTTGCCTCAGTCAGTCAGAGGAAGTTTTGTGTTCAATTTTGTTCTGGGTGTGGGACAGGATGTCTCTGTACCACTGCTGGAACACAGCGCTGTATATACTCTATGTAGCTGAGGCTACATACAGTTCATACACCTCTGACAGACTCTGGATGTGTTAGAAATGGAAATAGTTATTTTGGACCAGCTTGGTCCATTGAACTATTTAGAGCTCTCTGAAACATGTGTAGCAAACTCCTAGTGTAGAATGCTAGGCAAATTTAGTTTTTGGCTCCACTTGCAGTCAAGATGCATCCAGAAAATAAAGAGGGCGATTCAAATGATCAGCCAGAGCATTTATCATGTTCTGGCCAATCCCTGGAGAGGTGTGTCTAGAATAGGGCTGGGAAGGTGTTTGAAACCCTGGAGAGATTGGGAGGGGGGTTGCTGCCCTCTGAAGTAATGTGTGGGCTGTGAAGCTGCTCTTAGAGGTCTTAGAGGCTGTGGCAGAGCTGAGAGCCTAAAGTAATCTTTCTGAGGAGCTGGCTGTAGAACTTCACCGAAAGGTGAGTAAATGTGCTAGTAAGCAGAAGTCAGAAAAGAACCTTGTTTATTGGTGTGTGATTTTATGAGAGTGGACACACTAATAGTTAAGCCATCCCAAGGGCATTCAAAACCCTAGAGCAGTGATGGCGAACCCGTGGCACGCGTGCCACAGCCGGCACGCCGAGCCTTATCTGTGGGCACGCCAGGAGAATCCAGCGGCGCACTGTCTTCCCGGCTGTAGTGTGCGTGACAGCCGGGTCCCAAGTGCGCATGCACAAGAAGCAGTGCTCTTTGTGAATGGTAAGGCGGTACCTGGGACACATGACATATCCCAGAAGCCGCCGGACCAATCACAAAGCGCAGCGCTTCTTGCGCATGCGCACTGGGCATCCGGCTGTCCGACGAGCGCCCACACTACAGAAGCCGGGAAGACAGCGCGCGGCTGGATAAAGGAACAGGTAAGATAAAAAAAAAAAACTCTGCGGAAGTAAGAGCGGGTACCTGTCAAATTCAGGTACCCTGTGCTGTCCCCCTCCCCTCCCCAAAGGTCAGCAGTCATCTCTGTACTGTCCGCAGTCTCTGGTCATCCCTGTGCTGTCCGCAGTCTCTGGTCATCCCCTGTACTGTCCGCAGTCTCTGGTCCGCAGTCCCTGGTACTGTCCGCAGTCGTCTACTCCATGGTCATCCTGTACTGGTCATCTCTGGTCATCTGTACTGTCCGCAGTCTCTGGTCATCCCTGTGCTGTCCGCAGTCTCTGGTCATCTTCTGTACTGTGTCCCGCAGTCTCTGGTCATCCCTGTACTGTCCGCAGTCTCTGGTGTACTGTTCCGCAGTCTCTGGTCATCTCCTGTACTGTGTCCGCAGTCTCTGGTCATCCCTGTGTCCGCAGTCTCTGGTCATCCCTGTACTGTGTCCGCAGTCTCTGGTCATCCCTGTACTGTGTCCGCAGTCTCTGGTCATCCCTGTACTGTGTCCGCAGTCTCTGGTCATCCCTGTACTGTCCGCAGTCTCTGGTCATCCCTGTACTATGTCCGCAGTCTCTGGTCATCCCTGTACTGTCCGCAGTCTCTGGTCATCCCTGTACTGTCCGCAGTCTCTGGTCATCTCCTGTACTTTCCGCAGTCTCTGGTCATCCCTGTACTGTCCGCAGTCACTGGTCATCCCTGTACTGTGTCCGCAGTCTCTGGTCATCTCCTGTACTGTGTCCGCAGTCTCTGGTCATCCCTGTACTGTCCGCAGTCTCTGGTCATCCCTGTACTGTGTCCGCAGTCTCTGGTCATCCCTGTACTGTCCGCAGTCTCTGGTCATCTCCTGTACTGTCCGCAGTCTCTGGTCATCTCCTGTACTGTTCGCAGTCTCTGGTCATCTCCTGTACTGTGTCCGCAGTCTCTGGTCATCTCCTGTACTGTGTCCGCAGTCTCTGGTCATCTCCTGTACTGTCCGCAGTCTCTGGTCATCCCTGTACTGTGTCCGCAGTCTCTGGTCATCTCCTGTACTGTGTCCGCAGTCTCTGGTCATCTCCTGTACTGTGTCCGCAGTCTCTGGTCATCTCCTGTACTGTGTCCGCAGTCTCTGGTCATCCCTGTACTGTCCGCAGTCTCTGGTCATCTCCTGTACTGTGTCCGCAGTCTCTGGTCATCCCTGTACTGTGTCCGCAGTCTCTGGTCATCCCTGTACTGTCCGCAGTCTCTGGTCATCCCTGTACTGTGTCCGCAGTCTCTGGTCATCCCTGTACTGTGTCTGCAGTCTCTTGTCATCCCTGTACTGTGTCTGCAGTCTCTTGTCATCCCTGTACTGTGTCTGCAGTCTCTGGTCATCCCTGTACTGTGTCTGCAGTCTCTGGTCATCCCTGTACTGTGTCTGCAGTCTCTGGTCATCCCTGTACTGTGTCTGCAGTCTTTGGTCATCCCTGTACTGTGTCCGCAGTCTCTGGTCATCCCTGTACTGTGTCCGCAGTCTCTGGTCATCCCTGTACTGTGTCCGCAGTCTCTGGTCATCCCTGTACTGTCCACAGTCTCTGGTAATCCCTGTACTGTGTCCGCAGTCTCTGGTCATCCCTGTACTGTGTCCGCAGTCTCTGGTCATCCCTGTACTGTCCGCAGTCTCTGGTCATCCCTGTACTGTCCGCAGTCTCTGGTCATCTCCTGTACTGTGTCCGCAGTCTCTGGTCATCCCTGTACTGTGTCCGCAGTCTCTGGTCATCCCTGTACTGTGTCCGCAGTCTCTGGTCATCCCTGTACTGTGTCCGCAGTCTCTGGTCATCCCTGTACTGTCCGCAGTCTCTGGTCATCCCTGTACTGTGTCCGCAGTCTCTGGTCATCCCTGTACTGTGTCCGCAGTCTCTGGTCATCCCTGTACTGTGTCCGCAGTCTCTGGTCATCCCTGTACTGTTAATTAGTTTGCACTACTGTACGAGTTGTTTTTTCTAAACCAAAAGCTCGATATTCAGGTTTCATTGCAGTGTTGGCACTTTGAAAGAAATAAGTTGGTTTTGGGTTGCAGTTTGGGCACTCGGGCTCAAAAAGGTTCGCCATCACTGCCCTAGAGTATGGTTGCTTTCAAAGAATAGTGAACAGATTTCTGAGTATGTTATCTGCAGTAAGGTTACTAAGAGTGAGAACTGAGAAAAGAATAATGTAATTAAATATCAGATGAACACAGGGGATCTCCTATTGTGTTCCAAAAAAAAAAGAGATTGCCCCCTCCCTCATACATTATATGTTGTTTCTATTGTACCTATACCACCACAAATTCCGTCTTCTTTAATCCCCATATGGAGAGCTTTGAGGACTTGCTTTTATCATTTTGCCCCATATACTGTATATTAGGAGAAGATGATAAGCAGTTCTGATGAAGTAAAGTTGGAGCATAAATGTCAGAAAGAGGTACAGAAAGCCATTCAGAGTATGAGGAAGTCAATTTAGGACTGTTACTGGACAAGGATGATTATTTTAACCCTTTTGCTGCCAGTTCCCATACTCTTTTTAAACTGGCCAGACCATTTTGCAATTTTTCCAGTGCTTTTTATTTTTCCTTTAAAAGCTGTCAGAGTTTGTGAAAGGCCCCCCAAACCTACATTTTCTGAAAGCATAGAACCATTACAATAAAAAGGAAGGTCAAACACAAATAAAAATGGTGTAGCGCTACTCCACAGTGAATAAACAATCAGTGGATCATATAATGAAAAACAGAACACTTAAAAATAAATAAATGTGCACCACAAAACACAGAAAAAATTCCCATGGTGAGAGATATAACCAAAGTGCAAATAAATAAATCCAAAGTGCAAAATTGCAATAAATAAATGATATTCCTATGGATATGTAATGCGCTAACATAAATACCACTATAACAATGGTAAAAATGACATTAAGGAACAGCTCAAACGTGAACAGAATAAGAAAAAAGTGTATATATATATATATATATATATATATATATATATATATATATACACACATACACACATACATATACACACATTATTCTGACTCAGATTGTTGTGATAGCAATTTATCCCTTGTGAGACCTCTATGCCTAGCCTGTATAAGCAGATATAATCACTGTGGGCAATCCTTATCAGATAGCTGAACTCACCAATACTGTGTTCATCCAGAAGTTGCTTTATTCTGTACATGTGACAACAGGATACAGCAGAATGAATGGTTTCCAGTATTATGCGGTCAAAAGATGATACTTTCTGTAGCGTACTATGCAGAATACATGTGTCCCTGTTACATGTGGACTGTTAGCTGCCTCCATGACACAGGAAGTGCTGTACTCAAGAAGAAGGGAGGAGCTTCATATGCAAAGGAATTGTGTCATAGATCTCAGGGAGGTAATAAAAAAAACAAGTGCATTACCAAATAAGGCCAGTGGTGGTGGCATATAACTAACAATAGAAATATCCATAGGAAATGGTACAAAGAATAAACTATATGAATTCTCATGTACATTAACATAAATATTAACTGTGTAACAGCATACACATATACACACACACACACACTGTATATTATAAAAAAAAAAAAACAAACAAACCGTGATAGCATAAATTGATGTGCCACAAATAATAGTGCAGTGAATCACTTTCAGAAATTGTGTTAGCAAAATCGTGATGCCAAACAATGTAGCCTATAGGTGATTTCTAGTGGAGGAAACATATACATAAATATCCCAAAAATTAACAAATATATATGGTTGAAAAAAAAAACCCACCAATGATGTAGAACAAAAAGTCCAAAAAAAAAAAAAGGACCAAAAAGAAAAAAAAAAAAAAAAACAAACAATCCCAAACCCATGAAAAAAAAAAGTCCCAAATGCTGAACAAAAAGTTTGTGTAAATAATATTCCATTTAAAAACGATGTGTATCTTCAGACACGTAAACCAACAATGACAAAACAAACAAATGATCCTTCACCGCCTAGCGTGCACGTTCACCTTCAGACTGCGACCCGCAAGGGGTCATAAAGCATAAATGTAGCTGGATGATCCTCAGCCAGATGGATCCCACTCAATAGTATTCCTCTCCATAGTATAATGCAATCAATGATCATGGTCTCTTTAAGGGTATATGGCTTTAAATCACCTCCTCCACAATACTTATAGAAAGGGGATCAAAAAAAGACTTCCATACTGTAGTAAGTCAATTTTAATGAAATAAAGACAAAAAACTACTCACAATAAAATATTGGGTCTGCAGACCCAGCAAGCAATCACTGTTAACAGTACAGGGTGTATGAGGTTAGGAGTGCCAAGATGGTGACTGCCATCCGTACTGTAATGATGTCACCACGCTTCCGTCCTACATGTTGTGTCATGTATCACGTGACTTCTTCAGGGTGGGGTGGGGTGGATGTGTTACATTTGAGGTGTATAGCTCTGATCAGCAGCTAATCATAGCTATCTGCTTGTTCAGGAGCGTCTGCTGAACAGTTTTTCTATAGGCAGAGAAGAAATGCAGGTCAATACGGCATACGGACCTGGCCAGCTAGAAGCATTGCTGTAGGTCGGACCTGGAAGTAAAAAGGTTAAAGGCTAAGTTCACTTTTTCAAGTAGAATTTCTCTTTTCATAATAAAAAGACGCCTTTTCTAATGGCTTTCCTGCCTCAGCCATCCCAATGTGCTTATCTCTCACTTACCTAGTCCATGGCAACATTATATCTGTACCTCTGTTAAAAAAGCATTCTAAGCCCTTCACTTTCTGCAGCATCATATGGCCATCCAGGAAACTCCATACCCCATCATGCATTGCCTTACTGCATCACAGAATAGGGTGTACCTCTCTCGACCACATCCCATTATTACTGGACCACCTCTTTTATGTTTCCACCCACCTTCCTACTTCTTATTTTAAGGTGGCATACACCACAAATTTGATTGTACAATCTCCTTTAAATCTACTATCAACTATGTAGTGCAAGGGCCTACTTGATTTGACACACATTGAATAGATTGTTCAGGTGGATCTTCCCATTACATAGTTTTGGTAAATCTAAAGGAAATTGTACAGAGATTGTACAGATTGAATAGTGTATGGCCATATTTATACAAGTACATGGGAAGGAGTGGGTGGAGATTTTCAGATGTCATTGTTCTTGTTTAAACACAACAATTTCACTTTCAGGCCCCATTTACATCTAGCATGGAGTTTTTTGGCGCATTTTTAACTTCACACACATTTACAACAACTATATAATAGGAGGACACACTTATCTATCCGATTACTCTGTATAAAATCAGGCAGGCCCTTGCACTGCATAGTTGATGGAAGATCTAAAGGAGATTATACAATCAAATTGTATAGTGTATAGTGAGCTTTGTAGACTTCCAGGGACACACTTCACCTGTTTTCAATAATACAGTTCTGATACGTGATCGTTCAGCTCCTGCACACTCTGCCAAATGAACCATCTATGCAAGATGAAGGTAAGGTACAAATCGATTGGTTAGCAGAGGAAGACACTGGCTGTGTATTCAGGGTTAACAGTGCTCACTGATAATGTCTATATGTAAGTACAGAGGTGGGCGGGAGCAACCTGGAGGAGGAGGGCAGGGTGTGTTTTAACC